GACTAATGTCCACCGGCACTAATCTATTTTTATCGTCAATCTTAAAGCAATCTATTTCAACTTGTCGTACGGTGTTAAAATGTTTTCTATTCATTCGTATGCAAACATTTATACGGATACCTTCAGTATGATACAATTTGTATCAATATTATTATTTGTTCAGTTCAACAATATTTGTAATAATACTAATAAAAAAAAATTACAGTCTAAGTGACATTGACAGTAGATTTCAAAACAATAGAATCATATTGTTTATCAAGATTGTTTATAGTTTTTTTTTTTTTTTGTAGGTATAAATAATATTGTAAGTAAATTGTTTAGGATAGTCAGTTTCCTTATTTAGTTCAGTATTTCAAAAAAAATTATAGTCCAACGTTTATTCTGCCAGGGCCACTTGTCGGCTTTACACGGGTACCGATGTCATAAACATCGTCCTTCTGCGAAAGGACGGACCCTCCCTTGCCAGTTCTTAGAATGTTTATAATCCCCAATCCAGGGCAAGGGATGTGTCCTTTGTGATTGTATCGACGAGCATCACATTGTTCAGTTCGCAAAGCTCTATAGGACGTGAGAGACTAATCCTTCCACGTATATTATAAGTCATTAGTTTTCATTCAATAATAATAACTAAATTTTAGTGTGTCCGAACTATACCTATAATAATTCTTTTGAGATTGGCGTAATTAACATGTCGAAACAGTTAATATTTTCGCGATCAGGAGGCGTAAAATTGTATTTCATATGATATAAACTAATTTAACTAATTCTATTACTTTATAATACTGGAAATTTCACTTGTAAACTTTTATTTAATGCTTTTACATTTTACCTTTGCTTCTTTAGTTAAAATATAAGTGGACGATTTCTTGGCGAACGAAAATAACGGTTTTAGGATTTATTTGTGTAAATAACTATTATGTACGTAAGTAATTATGTAAATGTGAATAACTATGTTAAAGTAAGGTCATATTAATTTTTGATAATTATGTTTTATTGCACACTTTTAAATTAGATGGTTGTCATTATTTAAGCAATTAAATGTTTATTGTTTGTAATAAAAACATTTTTCGTAATCGATAAATTGTGTCTCTTTGTGATATTGTTTAACTATTAAGTCCAATAATTAACCATAACCGAGCACTTATCGGCCCCGTTATTGTAATAACATAATACGTCATATTAAAGTATATACTTTCATTATTCAATAGCAAATGTCGTGGTTACTGTATAAGTTAGCGTGTCGGTAACGCAGTGCGGTTTGAGACAACGTACTGCGTTTAACCCACGACAGTGCTGCGAGCCGCGGACGGCCCGCGCAATACATCGTGCAGGCCCATCTAAAAACTCCCACGGTTTTATACACGCGGCTGCCTATCTCATTATATTACTTCATCTATGCTTTTACACAGAAATTAGACCAAGTTGAGCCAAGCTGATCACAGAACGTTTATGCAAAGATTTTGCAAACGAAAAATTCACACTTCCACCGTGATTGCAGTAGTCAAAGATGATGTTTACACCACTAAAAGAGACGTTGATAATTTTGCCTAGATCAAAGTAGAGAATGATAATATTTGCTTGACTGCGGGATACGATGATAATGTTTACAGAGTCTATCCAACAGTGGGTGAGGTTAAGGAAACCTTCAGGATTTTGGTGACCATGGGAGACGATGGTGATGTAACTACACGACCGCGGAAGATACTCAGAAATTAGGTACCTTTTTTTAATAGCAATTCTTATAAATTTAGTTTTAGAATTTAAAAACTTCTTTCTGCAAGCGAGTTGGATGGTTGGAGTTTGGATAATTGGGGTTCTACTGTGTTTGTATTTCTTGTACTGTACTTCTTTGTTTCTTTTTTCTTCTTTCTTCCTTGTACTGTACAGTTACTTCAAATTCTGTGATATATTTTATATATAGTTGATATAAGGAAGAAAACGATATCCAATCATATCCCTATTATTTCCATTGCGTGCGCGATCCCCTCAAGGCATCTTATAAAAATTACAAATACTAATGAAACATACAAAAAAAAAAAAAAACACAAAATCCAACGCAAGTCATTTTCTTCTTTATATTATACACAAATAGCATTACAATATTCTACTTGAATTCCCTAAATGATCAATAAAACATACTATGATAACACAAAATTCTTTCACATAACAATATCTAACGTAATTCATTTTCTTCTTTACATTTTATACAAATAACATTACAGCATTCACTGAAACATCACCAACAACAAATAACTCCACTTTAGTATGGATGTAAACTAGGGGTCTGCGGTACAGAAAATTTAAGGTCGGTACGGTTCGGTACGGTACAATATTTTGTACCTCGGTTCTCGGTACAAAATCGGTACGGTACGCGGCTACCCGTATTTTTGCGGTTTTCTTCTCAGAACTGTATCTAAACCATTATTTTTAACTTTAATACATAGACATTAATATGAAAATGGATAGTATCCTACATTCATGGTTTTCTAACAACAATTACTGTACCACATATTATTAAAACAAAACCTTTTACTACTACGAGGATTGTGTCAAGAAAAATCACAGTTGAGATAAAGGCTTTACCTATTTTACTCTGAGATACTTTGAATAGCCATGATAAAGTAGTTTAAAAATAGGATAAGAGTTTTTATGAATAAACATGTTTGAAACATTTATTGACAAGATAATTTCACAAAACTGGTAAATTATTTCCAAACAACACAATGTCTAGTTGTTTTTTTTTTTGTTTTTTTTTTTTTTTTTTTTTTTTAATATATAAAAGCATTCAGTAGAAGACAGTGTAGTTTTGCCAGCTGTTCACAGCAGATGACAATGAAAAACTGGAGGTTATGATGAAGTAATGGCAAAGACCATTTTTTTTTTTATCAGCTTCAAAACTAGTTAAGTTATAAGATGGATACAATTCTTGCAAAGTTTTTTTCTGAAACTAAAATTTGGATTATCACAGAGTAAGATTTGATGTTGGGCAATTAGACTTTATAACTGTGTAAAAGGTGTGTATCCCTAAATTTATAAATTGCATTCTACACTTATTCACTGCCAAACATAATTCAGTAGAACCTTGATGAACCGAGAATTACACTAGCCTACATAACTTCATTACCCCAAGTAAAATACCAAAATAATTTTTATAATTGTATTTGAATCGTATAATCTTAGTTTGTTAAAAATGGATTGTATGTTCAACAATAATTGCAGTCCATTATTGTTAAGCAGTATGGTCCCGATTTTGAAACATTACAGTTCATTTGACAAAATTATAATTGAAGCAGCCCAATGTCAAGTCACGCGCGCTTGTGCAAAAGTTTGTTTACAAGCTTTCTCCAGACCACGGGGGAGGGGAGGGGAGGGTCTGATAAGCCGTCTATTGTTCACCCCCAAGAAGGTCCGACCCTCATTAGTGCCGCTCGGCTGCACTCAGTGGGGAACCCAATACCACAAATCAATCTTTTAAATGAATACAAATATTTGGTAATAATTGTTGAAATTTCAATAAATTTGGTGTAAAATTTGACAAAAATCTGCCATTTGGACCGATTATTAATACAATACAAAATACTAATAAAGTAGTACCGTACATTCATTAGTAATTAAATAATAGGTAAAAATTAACCGATTTTCGTCAAGTTTTACCCCCTGCTGTGCGCTATGTCACAAAAGCTGATAACGACATGGGTGATTAGTAACCATGGCAACTTGTTGAATGCGTGATGAAGGGAAACCCAAGAAATAGAAGAACAAAGATAAAGATTGACGTTGTTATCTTTATACCCTTTTTACAATTTCCGTTATTGTTATCTTTATGTAAGATTTTATGATTTTGTTTTATAGGTTTATAAAATAATTCTTTTTAACTACGGGAATATCAATTTATAATTTATCAACGTGCTTCTCTTCTGAAACAGCAATACCGGATGGATAATAAAGGTCAATGGCCTAAAATATCACGATTGTGCAATATTGTATTTTGATGTTAAAATTAAAATCACGACAAAAGTTTGTATATATCCATGGTCGTCAATAGAAAGATAAAATATCCATAACAAATATTTAATTTATAAAATAAGATTGTAGATTAGTTACAAGTTTAATATGTAGCCATAAACAGTTTTATGGCAGTAGGCAATGGCCAGCGGCAAATTCAATATTCACGAAAATACTGATTAAGTTAGAGATAACATTTAACAGTCATCATAAAACTATTATTTTTATGATAAAACAGAATTGGGGAAAGTCGTAAAGAAATAAAAGTGATAAAACTCAACAGTTCTTGGAAGTACTTCAATACAACAATTATTGTCATGATAAAATGTTAATGGATTTGGGACTGCTAATGGGTTTTTTATTGCATCATCACGCTAGTAATAAATTATGAAGATCGTAAACAAACAACTGATAAGACTTTTATGTGCTTGGAACCAACTGCCGTTGACTACGATAGTAAACTGAAAGTAATTTATTATTATAATAGGCTGTACCGAACCGAATTTGTACCGTGTAAAATGCTGTACCGAACCGATGACGGTAATTAAGCTTGTACCGTACCGTACCGACTTTTTCGGTGCACCGCAGACCCCTAATGTAAACAAATGTAAACTTGAAAAAATTCAGATGATTGACAACAGAATTCAGCACAAACTATGAAATTTTAAAAGCCTATATGATGAAGGACTTACATGGGATATCATCCAAACCCACAAAAGACATATCTAGAGGATAAGAGCTTTAAATTGATACCCAATATGCACATAAAAATAATTATTTAGGGGTCGATATGCCGCACACAAAAATCCATAAAATTCTTTTAATAATATGGATTCCTATATCTCTTATATTGTAAAACCACTAGATATTTCTTTACGCCATAATTCTCAACACATATTATAATTACTTGAAACCCAAACAGAATTGGTGATGTCTTAATAGTATGAAAACTAAAATACAACACATGATCAACATACCGACGACCCGCCGCTTACTTGTAAAGAGTTAATGTTGATTGATATCGGACGAATGTACGCCTTCTCCACCGACGTCCTCTCATGAGTCCCACCAAAGAATCTTACATCGTACAAATCTCCGTTGATTTTTATGACCTGAAAAGTTTAAAACATTATTACAAGGCCAAAAAGTATGTTTATACAGTACCCATTTTTATATGAATAAAAAGCATTTTACATTTTTAGATAAAATGTGGTAAGAGATGGAAAATTGAAGTTACATATAGTGATAAAATGTCAACACTCAAAATGAATTTGCCAATTTAAATTTGAGCCTGTTTTAATTCCTAAAAACGATTGAGTTTTAAGATACACCACAACTCTATGACTGTACCTTGGCAGGCCAGTAAGGGTAGCCCTTCTGCTTGGCGTACACCAGCATGTGGGGAGGTCTGCACGGTTTGCAGAACCAATTCCTGTTGTTCCTTTCAAACGAGACTTTATAACAGTCTCTGCATTGCCGGATGTCTTGTAGACTGGTCAAACAGTCTCGGAGCATGAGTCTAGCATGGTCTGCCACGATACTGTGAACTGTGGATCAATGGTATCATACAATAAATATGTAAATATAAGTTTGCGACAAAGTTTTTCTAATTAGGTACACGAATGTCTATGTACAGAGATGTACCTTATGAGTTCACAAAATTCTTAGTTAAAGCGTATTTATTGCTCACCCAATCAGGAGAACGGTGTTCATATTGTTTTAGAATTGCTTTCTTATTCTAACTGCCCAAAACAGACACTGTAGTAAACTTATATTAATTGTGTATTCAACCTTATTGTTTTCTGTCTTGGTCCATAGAAATTAGCCTATAAAGTTCAAAATTCAAAGTTTTCATCCCCGATGTCACAGAAAACATACTGTCAATTGTAGGCAGCGCCACCAGCGTTGCCATGCACTCAGCATAGCAACGCTGGTGGCGCTGCCTACCAATTGACAGGCAAAGCTCTCTCAAAACACTTAATGCTTTTTACCACGCGGTTGGCATTCTGAGTTATAGTAGCCTGTTTTCTGTGCCGATGTGAACAAGTTACGGTTAAGTTTTAGAGGACCCACAAAATTGAAATATCTCATGGTAACTGACCACTTTGTCAATCATAAAGAACGAAAGAGCACATCTTTGTGATCAACAAAGCGGTGATCATAAATATTTCAATTTTGTTTGTAGATATAAATGTAATTTGTTTTCTATTCAGAAGCCTCGTTTTCTGTACAGGTAAGCTTTCTCTTTCTGTAAAAAACTAAATCAAACGTAAAAGAGAAAACTTTTACATTACTGAAAATAACAAGAAATGGGACATGCAATTTTGTTCACACAAGATTTTAAATAGGCCTATATCTTTTTATCATTGAATTCTTGTTGCAGCAAAATGTCAGTATCAATTTTACTATTAAAAAAGTAGTTATACCTGACTGTATAAAATATGTATTCTAATATAGAAAGATCAAACAACACTCAGGCCACAAATTTGAAAACTGTTTACTATTGTAAATTATTGTTGTTTGGACTTGACATAAAATCGATGGATTTGTTACACTATATGACCAATTAGCATAAAGTCAAAATCCACATTGCTCCTGGTCTTGCTCAGATGAAAATATAATGATAAAAGCTATTTCCCTACAAGTTCCTCAAGGAAATGATTCACTTACCTCCGTGGTAAATTACCACATTATGTACAATGGTTTGGGCATCAGCTTTAAACTCTTCCAGATGTTCATACTTATTTGCCTGAGCTTTAGCTTCCATCATTTGCAAATCCATTGGCCTAAAACAAATTAAGTGAAAAACTTGAATTTTTTAACTAGAAAACTTTAAAAGCAGACTTTACAAGCTAAGAACAGTTGATTTACAAAAGGGATACAGTTTTTAGGAAATAATATGTGCTGATTGTTATAACTAACTGTTTGGATTAAGTGATTTACTATTTTTTTTTTTTTTTTTAGTAGTTTTGGTTGATAGAAGCGTTTATACTTGTTAACATCATGTATATTTAAAAACTTGTGTTAACTTACTGTGTGAGCAATAGATGTTTCAAAATAATCGTCAGTCCTGTAGAACCTAACTAACACAACACCTGATAGCTCGACAGTCTGTGTGACTCAACAGCAAACACACCTAGAGTTGGTTTTAGATTATGTGTAACTCAACAGCGACTAGAAGACAGGGAACACGTACCTAGAGTTGGTTTTACATTATGTGTAACTCAACAGCGACTAGAAGACAGGGAACACGTACCTAGAGTTGGTTTTACATTATGTGTAGCTCAACAGAGACTAAAGACAGGGAACACACCTAGAGTTGGTTTTACATTATGTGTAGCTCTACAGTGACTAGAAGACAGTGAACACACCTAGAGTTGGTTTTACATTATGTGTAACTCAACAGAGACTAAAGACAGGGAACACACCTAGAGTTGGTTTTACATTATGTGTAACTCATCAGTGACTAGAAGACAGGGAACACACCTAGAGTTGGTTTTAGATTATGTGTAACTCAACAGCGACTAGAAGACAGGGAACACACCTAGAGTTGGTTTTAGATTATGTGTAACTCAACAGCGACTAGAAGACAGGGAACACACCTAGAGTTGGTTTTAGATTATGTGTAACTCAACAGCGACTAGAAGACAGGGAACACGTACCTAGAGTTGGTTTTACATTATGTGTAACTCAACAGCGACTAGAAGACAGGGAACACGTACCTAGAGTTGGTTTTACATTATGTGTAACTCAACAGAGACTAAAGACAGGGAACACACCTAGAGTTGGTTTTACATTATGTGTAGCTCTACAGTGACTAGAAGACAGTGAACACACCTAGAGTTGGTTTTACATTATGTGTAACTCAACAGTAGTGATGGTCTAATCCGGAAATTTCGAATCTCGAATCCGAATCCGAATCTTAAAAAAATCAAACCTCGAATCTAGAATCTTTTCGATTTTTTCAAAAATCGAATCTTTTTGTGCGCGATTAAGAAAAATATTACAGTTTAGGCTACATTCACTCAATGAAATGTCAAGTATACCAATAATACCAATCTTGCCAATTGAAATTATTTAAATAATCAAGGTGTAGAAAATTAAATAATGCCAAAAACATAATTTTTTTAAATTGAAATTTAATAGCTGGGTTTACAAGCTAGGGAGACAAATTAAAATTAACAAATGAAAACTTGAACAAAACACAAAATTAACAAATCCCAAGTCCTTAATGAATTCTTTATTTAATTTGTGCAAGGGATAGTTATCTAATTAAGGATAAATATTTAGCAATTAATAGTCAATAACAACTCAACTAAACAAACAAAAGTAAGAACAATACACAATGATCAAAAAAAAAAAGATCGGTCCGATGTACGGAGTGATGTACGATAGTGTGTCACGGTACATTTTTGCCCCGTACGCCGTAATGAGCGCCGCACCGAGCGGCCGCCTGTGCTAGCGTTGAGTTATAATTTAATATGGCAATTAGACTCTTTAATTGGTAAAGTAAATAAAAGTTGGGTAATATGTTGCCGTTATATATTATGATCATTTAAGATGTAATGTTGTGGTTTGTTTGGTCAAGGTTGAAAATATAGAAACCGTTAAATCAGTTATATCGATAATATTAAAGTAAATTAAGTAATTAACATTATTAAAGACAATTAAAATTATCATTCTGCAACGTCTTTTCAATGAATAAAACCAATAAAAATCAATACATATAACTTATTGTATTAATAGTCAAAGATATAACAAAGCATCCTTTCATTTTATTTTTGCGACAAGTTTTCAAAAAGCGACTTTTAACGCGCTCTCACTCGCGCACACTCTGATGCGCACACACATCATCTCTCTCTGAACTCCCTTGTGCCGCGCTCGGTAGAATTCGTCTGGTCTTCGGGGAAATGTTCTGAGTGAAATTTAGCTGACATTTATACCCCTTTTCCCTGCTCGGTTCGGGGTCTTGATCGGGGAAAAGATCGATAGTGTGTCACCGCCTTAAGGATGAAAATAGTCGAGGTAGACAATTCTGAGGTGTCTACTCCAGACGGATATTTTAAGACTTTCGATTTTTAAATCGGAGCAAGGTTTGGCTTATTGGTGGTTGTGGGGGGGGGGGGGCTCTGGTTGTTTATAATCTGCTTAAGGTGTTGTATTTTGGGGCAATTCAATCAAAGATGATTATGAACCACAAGGGACATTACATTAGGGCTGGGCTGTCTGTCATGACTCCATTTGCAGCAGACATTTAATTTTAAAAGAGAAAAACCGTGTTCTATTATAAACTATTTTTCTAAAAATGGTTTTGGATTTATGACAAATCAGGATTTTTTGAATTATACTGTAAATTTAGAAACCCTCAAACACGACAACCCCTAGTCTACAAAGTGTACGGTAATGTGAGGTTTTTACTGCAGTAATAAAATTAAAGTCAGGCTATACATTTATTCCACACTCCACCTGTACAAAAGGAAGTCCTGACGCCAGATGTCCTTGTCATCATTGACCCACTTGATGGTGGAAGGCAGCTCAGAGCTGGGTCGTCGTATGTTACCTTGCCTCTCGTAGATGTAGGGAGTCGCAGACGCATTGCACAACACATGACGCTCTGTGAGGGACATCGGCAACTGGAGACACAATAAAGCGGGTCAGACAATACAAGTATTCCTAGTTTTTAACGTAAAATGGTAAAAGAGCAAATGTGTTCAACGCTTTGTGCAGCAACTCATTCATTCCTGTTTTGACTTGTGTTTAGCACAATAAGCCAATCAGTCAATCCTACAATAATGTTTTGTATCATAAAAATGTATTATAGATGTTAGCCTTCGGATTGCCAAATAATATTAAAAACATTCTTTTAAGGTTTTAAGAACCTTTTTTAATAAAATTTATACATCCGATGGAATGAAAAAATAAATAGCTAAATAAAGATTTGACTGTAACTGGCTGTTTTTTTTTGGAGATATTGATGAAATAATCTTGTGTTTAACAGTTAGACTAAACTAAAAGAAAGGAAAAAAACAAACATAATAAATTGCATTTGACTTAGGCCTATAAGCATAGAAAAATTTAATTGGAACATAAAATGACATTATGCAGCTTGTTTTTTGTAAGATCTTTAAATATCAATGAAAATAAAAACAGTTATAAGGGAAAATCAAATTGTACTAATAAAAAGGAGACATTTTTGCATATAGTAGCTTACCCGTTGTTTTAGCCTGCGAATCGTTAGTCTCAGCAACCTGTTCAGCTGACTTTTCTTCACCTCAAAGTTCTCTTCTTTGGTACTGATCATCTAAAATTCAAAATCCTTCATTGATACACATACACATTTTCGTTCCTAGACTTTTTTAATGGTGTGTGTATATATAATATCAAAGTGGCCACCATAATTTCACTGAAACCTCTTTACTATAAATGGAAAATAGCACCCTGAAGTATCACAAAAGTATTGGCGTCTAAAATCAGACAGCGAAGAGACGACAAAGTCAGATTTAAAATCCTGAATCATCATAGTTAACTTTCCTTTCAAGGAAATATTTCTAAAGCACTCATGTTTTAACTTTCTCAGACATTCATGTTGAATTGGAAGGTGTCAATTAGTAAACCTATTATCCAAGTTGACCCTTAAAGAGCCATTAGGGTTGTTTTAAAAGGCAGCAAACAATGCTAGAAGATCAAAGGGACAGGTGTGGCATAGTCAGTGGCATAATCATCATTAATTTAGCATCTTGTAATTTCAAACACTTTGACAGATCTATGACTTACCTTACAAACGTTGCAGACAAACTTGTGTTTCACATCTGTCTCGGGCAGTTCCTCCTTAGCGATGCACGCGAGGTGGTAAACTCGGTGACAAGTGTTACAAGAGATGACGTCTCCACCACGGTGACACTCGAAACAATACCAGTCGTGACTATCCTTCTCCACCTGCACACCAGCCAACATAACGCCTAACTTCCAAGTCTGACGACAGCAAAATGTAGATATATTTACATAACTAGCTATTCTATTCTAAAATTTGAATCAAAGATACAATACCTCTGCTGCAGCAAACCAGGAGACTTGGGCTTTCACTAAATATTTCTTTCAAGATGTCAGATTGTCCCTTATTTGAATATTAGGTTTAAAATGAAAATTCGCTTAATTTGCAGGTTTGCTTCGGCGGGGCTATTTTTTCTTAAGTATTGACAAGATTAAATTCACAAACAAACCTAAAAGTCAAATACTTTCAGTGGAATAAATTTTAGTCATAGGCAAGTCAATAAATATTTTTTTATTACCTTTAAACTGTAATATTTTACGAGCAAGGGCGGATAATCTAATTATCGGTTAATGTGAGGTCAGTTAAGAGGGGGTCTAACTGTATATGGAATTTTCTCTGGAGCCTTTGAGTGTAAAGCAATACTTCAAAACACAAGCTCTATAAAAAACACATTTCATCCTTAAACCCCCTTAAAACCTCGTTCCCATAGTCCGGTCATACAGGTTTGAGTAAATGTAGGTTAACAAGTTTTTATGAAATTGCATTCAAAATCTGAGAACTTTTACTCAAGTTAGGCCTATCATGCTAACAGCCAAATATCTATAATATTAAAACGAAACAGTGTTTTTTTATTTCACGATTCTGAATCAACCACTCGACGGATTTTCATGATTTTTGTGTTGAAGGAAAGATAATTTTGAGAACAAGGGAATGTCGAAGCCATAATTTTAGTTTATGGTTTCTGTTTTTTAGAAAATAAGTTTAAAATTTTAAAAAGTCTAGCAGCCGACGCTATCATTCTACACTAGCGTTTGGTATAGAATCATTTGCTTAACGTAACAGCTGTAAACATTAAGCGTGTATGTGACACAAATTCAGCATTTGGATAATAATTACATGCATAGGGTTGACTTATTTATACTATGTGTAATGCTATGCTCATTGATACGTCCATTTAATGGGTAAGAGGATGACAGTCTATTTAAATATTCAAGGTAAAATGATAGATGTTGTAATTTATTTTTTAGAGCAATCTTTACAATTTTAAGTTTGTTTTAGTGCAATATAATTTGTTTTAACTAACAGCTGGTTGAATATAAAAGTTGTCTTTAGATCTAACAGGTTAGTTTATTATTCTGTGATTTTGGCATTGATTATAGAAAATAAGTAAGAGTCAAGATTCTATAACCACTGATGTATACAAATCGAGGCTATGCCCCCCGAGTATTCAAAGGAAAAATTATGCAAATTATTTTTCTGTTCGACTTTTTGAGGAAAGAATAGGAAAATAACAATGTGTACATGTTTTAATTCATCTTGATAGCTTTTTGTTTACAGGAAATGGTTAACTGCTTGAACTTTGCTTGGATTAGAAATGGAAATATTAATATAATTTCAGTTTTAGTTGACTTCTCAATCCCGTACATAGGACGGGGCAACAGCTCGTATATGTTAATTTGAACCAATAGTGTTTTGGCCTCAGGGGACAAACGAAACAAAACAAATAAAATCGATCTTTGCTCTAGGTCTTACCATGAGACATATGGTAATAGCTTACCTATTTGGGAAATTCGCTAAAAATATAAGGGCTAAACTACATACCGTTTCCCCAGGCAGATTGTAGCCTTCAGTCTCCACTCCGATTTTGGAGCCCTTGAACCCGACCCTCTTGGTAAGCTGCAATAGACCATCTCTGACACAGTAGTTGAGTTGTCGGGTAACTTCCTCTGCAAACACACATGTCTGACAACACTTCACAATACAAAACTGATATGGAACAAAACATTTTCAACAAAACTTTCCGATAGGAAATGGTAAACAAATATTCTGGACAACAGATGGATTAGTGATCAGAGCGATTTATGTCCTTGAGGCCAAAGTTCAAATCCCATCAATCAACAAAGACAACTTGTTCTATAACATATTTTTGTGACCCGAAATTTCAGAGTAAGCCTACACTTAGAGTGTTAGGTCTATCAAAGAAGTAAAGAAGTAGATTGTTTTTGTGAGTAGAACTAAAATAGGTATCCAGCCTCCTATCAAGTAAAAAGAGCCTGTAGGCAAGGAGAACTGTGTCATGATATGAGTAATCTTACAACTTCGACTGAGATAGACTGAACAAGCAAGATAAATAAATAGGCTAGATCATTATATTTTACTAAGAGGTTTATTACATCGGGGAAATAACAAGAAATATATACTGCAAGCATAGAAATAAACATTAAAAAGTATACCGGGTGTCCGAAAAATGACTCCCTAGTTTTGATAAACGATTGTTTATTGTAGAGAATACATATTCTTATATCTAATACATGAAATTAAAGAGGGTTTACTCAAGTTTATTTTGACATTAGTACACCTCGATATGTGACCCATTTGTAGCTCTACAGATATCTAACCGGTATTCGATCTCTCTCCAAGTGTTAGTTAATATATCTGGTGTCACTGATTCTACTGCAGCTACGATTCTTTGACGAAGATGGTCAATGTCACGTATCTTTTCTGAATAAACCAAGTTCTTAACGTAACCCCACAGGAAAAAATCCAGTGGTGTTATGTCTGGGCTTCTTGGAGGCCACGCGATCGGGCCAGCTCTCCCCATCCATCTTGCCGGGAAACCGAAAGGGCCTCCAAGAAGCCCAGACATAACACCACTGGATTTTTTCCTGTGGGGTTACATTAAGAACTTGGTTTATTCAGAAAAGATACGTGACATTGACCATCTTCGTCAAAGAATCGTAGCTGCAGTAGAATCAGTGACACCAGATATGTTAACTAACACTTGGAGAGAGATCGAATACCGGTTAGACATCTGTAGAGCTACAAATGGGTCACATATCGAGGTGTACTAATGTCAAAATAAACTTGAGTAAACCCTCTTTAATTTCATGTATTAGATATAAGAATATGTATTCTCTACAATAAACAATCGTTTATCAAAACTAGGGAGTTATTTTTCGGACACCCGGTATATCTACATAGGCCTAGTTGAAACAAACCTTCAATTAGACTTTGGCTGATTCATCAAATATTATGTTTAATTATAAAGCCTACTAAACCAAGCAATATTTCACCTACTCCCCATGAAACCACAAGTGCTCAAATTCAACCAGTGACTCACCTAGTCCGACGTTGTGTACTCTACTCATGAACTTGGCGATGCGGTCAATGTCCGGGACTTGGCGTTGATATCTGATAGTCTTGATCGCGTCCCACAACTGCTGTGTCATCTGCGGACAAGACACGCGGCGACGAGACATCGCGTAGAACAACCTGCGGACAAAAGTCACATTATTGAGTCAACATTCAGTACGGATTGCATGCTGATTACAGAAGACTCCCTCTTGTTTTGATCTATTAGGTTCAGTCTTCAGATGGTTTGGCCGGACACGTATATGTATGACTAGTTGTAAAGTTTTGTCCTGAGCTGAACATATGTTAGCCTATTCGGGTATTTTTTATTGCTTAGTATAGAATTATAGTTTAATAATTTTACATACCGGTACACAATATGTGAAACTTATCCAGTTATTTTTACGAACTTTTAATGGTTTAGACTTGTTTCAGTTGCATCAAGAATCTGGTCTGGAGGTATCCAAATGAGAGGATGTCGAATTGTAATTCAGGCTAGCTACATTAAACAGTAAAAGCATACTAATACGGCATCCGATGGTCCAACACATTCAATTTCAAACATTTTTTTGGATGCTCTTTTAAGCCACATATGCTCATGTGCTCATATTAGCACATTAGGCACAGTTAGGAGCAATAGGCAGATGTTGGAATCAAACGCAAGATGTCAGGATTGAACATTAGACATTGGTTGTACTTGTACGCTTTGGATTTCAGGTGTGTTTTATTTTCAGCATTTTATTTATATGTTGAAAACACAGAAAACTTATGATTCAATAGATGTGTTTTTAATGTAGCCTACGCTATTATATTTGGGACATTTATATATGGTTTTTGGAACTATCAATGCAATGCCATGAAAAATAATAACTTACTTGTAGGCTAATGAAAATAAGATAACCAACATTTTTTTTATCCACTTTATTACAAAGTCTGTTTTAACTTCTCCTACTTTTTGATGATCCTAGAGAAGTTTTCATAAATTATAAGTAGAACCCCTCATATCCATATATTATCTAAACATGTCATATACATGTTATTTATACAGATAGGCCTAGTTGTAAATAAAAAATTCCTATGTTACTTTTACGGAGAATAAGTGAACTGTTGTAGTTTGCTTGTATATGAGCATATTTTGATCAATTGGGAAAATACATTTATTTCTCACTTAACTATCAAAGTTTTACAAAAAAAACAACTTTTACCCTCCCTGTGGCAGCAAACCTAAGTAGGCCTACTCGTTAAACTAATTCTATTTAAATAGGGAATAATCGTGATATTTTTAACGAGACATTTTAATGTAGGCTAAATCCAATCGGGCAAATGCAAATTCGCTTCGTCTACAGGTTTGCTGAAGCAAGAGGGTAAAAACACAATTTTGTTTAAGCTTTTATAAATGTATACAGGGTGAAGCAGACCACCCATACACATACGGAATATGTTAACGGAATGCGTTTTCACCTAGAAACGCTAAATACAATTTAATTCCCCCTGAAATCATATACGAAGATACTTAGAACATGATCCAAGCACAGGGTGTTCCAAAAATGAAGGTCACAGGTTCAAATCTCTAAAGTTCCTTAGGCAAACCTACACCACTTGTACATTTTTAGAAAGGTCTTGATTAGAGCAACATTTTGTATAAAAACAGAACTCAATTACTCAATCCGTTTCAAAATGGTGGCCATTTTTGTGAAATTCTCGCATATTGAGGTAATATCCTGTATTTTCAAAACCAATAAACATTTTTACGTTCTGATGAAAATTTGTAATCCTGGCAAACACAGAGCTTTGATTTTTTAAATGTTATAATTTTTTTAATTAGGCCTACCTATAAGTTTTTACCAAAATTTTATTTTTTTGTAATGTTGGTAGCCCTGCAAATTAAACAAATCAATTGGCAACATATGTCATATAGTATATAATTTTAAGCGTCTCTTTAAGATAAACAACTTTCCAATTTACACATACTGTCTATTTCTTTTAGTATACTACAAACTAAATTTTCCCATATAAATGCATGTTAATTGCATTGCCAAATGATGCCATATTTTTTTTTTTAGTTTTAGGCTTTTGAAAGTAACACGCATTTTATATGGGAAAATTTAGTTAGGTAGGCTATTGGTTTAAAAAAATCACTCAAAATTCACGTAGCCTACAATTTCCCATTTTCCTGGTTTCCAGGTTATTTAGGTCACAAAAAAAAGTAACTAAAGGAGGATGCAAAGGAGATGAACCTACTAAAAGATTTTTTAAATTTCCTTGGAATTAAACTTGATGTTTTAAGTTTTTCTATCTCCTCTTACAAGGGAATAGATGACCATTATGTAGCTTTCGATGTAATGTATGTAGCCTTATAACCAAAGTGAACAAAATTACAGACTTTGTTTTGTTGGATTTGTAAAGGTAACAAAACAACGTAAGGTAAAGGCTAATTAAAATGAATACTCTAAGCTATTTCCAATTTAAAACAAAAGTGCTGATTGGGGATTTTGGATGGTGAATACTTCAAACTACCTACTTTCTAAGCATCCAAAAGCGAAAAGATTAATACCATATGAAATTGTTCTATTGACCTACACGCGGTACTTTCAAATACTAAAATGGTGGGTGAATTATTCAAATAAAGTGCCTACAAGCAGCATGCTCTACATGCACTCACTTTTTATTCATCTTGCTTGAATCGGGAAGAGCCCAAGTACCCTCATATGCCTAGTCTGTAACAACACAGCAATGCTGTTAGCCTAGACTGACACAGGTATTGGACAAACCTATTGGACAAACCTAATAGTGAGTTTGGTAAACTTTGAAACTAGCTTTTAAAACCACAAACTGTTTGAATTGGTTAAATATAAACTACAACTTTCAAAATTAAATAATTTCATTTAGAGTGTTATGACAGATGTAAGGTACCTACAAGAGATGAGATTGTAAAATCCTAGTCACAGATTTAGAAGGTGAGAAAAAAGTAGATGTCATCAATTAATTGTTGATGGACAAATATAAGAACTATGGAAGTGTTTTATTCTCAGTGTATTTAAAATAGGCCTAAAGTGTATTGAGGTCATCATAACCTTTACCAGTTAGGCCAACAGATCTTTGTTGTAAACACATATGAGTTGGACGATTGAAATCGCAAAATTTTCATTTTTGTCATATTTTTTGTTAAGAATTATGATAAACCAATCCCAGTAGATGGTTTCACCTTGCAACCTTTGAATTCTTATCTAATAGCCAGCATTCTAGCACACCTTAGCAATTCAAAAAGTGAGGATGTTTTTGGTCTGTCCAATTATGTACTAAAATCGGTAGGTAACATCATCATCCACCCCATGACTTATTTAGTAAACTTAGTTCTTACCCAAGGTGTCTTTCCTGACTGACTGCTTGAAGTAAGCTAATATCACCCCAATCTTTAAGCGAGGGGACCCAAATAAGGCTGACTGTTAAAGGCCCATAGTGATTGTTCCTAAGTTGGTAAGGTAATAGAATCTTGTATAACTGCTCAACTGTATGAATATTTCAACAACTACAACTTGCTCTATAACCATCAGAATGGTTTTCGTCCAAAATGTAATACAGTACAAGCAATGGAAGTTATTGTCAACTTTATCGGGTTTTGAAAACAAGAATATCATTGCCTCAAATTTGATCGATCTTTCAAAGGCCTCACTTTTTACATTTTGTACAAAAAATTAGATTTCTATGGTGTTGGAGATAAGGATTAGGCTATATCTTGTCAAATCTTACTTGTCTGGACGTAAACAAAAGGTCAAAGTAAATAATGCTAGCTCTAATTTTATTGATCTTAAGGCCGGTGTATCCCAAGGCTCCGTGCTCGGACCTTTCTTGTAACTGATTTTTGTTAAAGATATGTATTGTAATGTTCCTATTATGTCAGTGCTCTACGCTGATGACACAACCTTGATAGGTATGCTCAGATAGTTATTTCAAACATGCTAATCAACTACTCTCAAATGCCTTAGACTCTTCCAAAAAGTGGTTTGTATCCAATAATTTAGTCATAAATGAGCAAAAAACAGATTTGATTTATTTTTCTCTAGGAGAAATTCCGACAACCTGTAATGCAAAAAGTTATGTCAAACTTTTGGGTTTCACTTTAGACAACCACCTCACTTGGAAACCTCATGTCCGTAATATGTGTAAAAAACTATTAAGAACTGTATACCTAATAAGAAGGCTTAAGCGCTCAATCAGTACCGGTAAGCTCTGATACATTGCTGGTTGTCTACTATGGACTCTTTCATGCTACTTTCAGCTATGGTATTCGCCTGTGGGGACATTCATGCCATGCGAAAAAGGTTTTCCGGTGGCAAAAGAAGACTCCTTGACAACTTGAGAGATCGTCAATCATGTAAAACAAGTTTTCAGAAGTATAAATCATACCATGCCATCTGTGTATGTTTTAAACACCTTAGTATAACTTACGTCAAACAAAATATCAACTCTTTTGCTCCTCAAAATGCTTATGATCACCTCACTAGGATAACATAACCTTGTTGCTCCATATGTAAGGCTTGCAAAAATCCGGCATTGCCATGTTCACCATCAAATCGCTCTTTATAATAAACTCCCAATAGCTATTAGAAAATTTGCCACTCAATAGATTTACGAAAACTGTAACTTTTTTTCTAAAAGACCAATCCTACTACTCTATAGCGGACTACATGGACGATCGCCTCTTTCCATGACCTGTTAATCTGATGTAACGTATCTTATCTAAATCTTTGTCTCTGTTCTTATCTTGTTTTAAGTTATGTGTCTCAATTCATGTTGTTGTTGTTTTTTTTTTTTTTTTTTTTTACCTTGTCCACTTCTTGACTTGTCCTATTGCATTACCTGTATGCTTAAGAATAAAATCTATTGTCTATTGTCAAGTAAGTAGCCCAGGCTTATGCTTTAAAACAAGTTGGCAACACTTAAGTTAACTTAAATACTACAACAAGGCCTTAAGTAGGCTAGTTTTATTCACCAATAAAAACGTAAACACATCACAACTAAATTTTTTTTTACATGGGAAAAAATTTTTCATAAATATTATTTAACCAAATCAAAATTGATAGCCTATAGGCCTAGACTATTACATAGAAATGGGTTTCATATCATTATTTTGGGTACACTTCCATATGTTGTTCTATCTGTTGGCACAAATAAAAAAATGAAAATATCGATCGATGTATCGATTATTCGATATATCGTTTAATTAGTTAGGTAAGGTTAACCTAACCTATTTAACCAAACGATATAGGTATCGAATTAAACAATTGAATAATCATTATTACTCATTCAGTTGTTTGTGCCAACAGATATGGAATTGTAGCCTACCCATTATATTTTCCGATTAGGCCTAAGTTTATCGCAGGCTCTCTGCAGAACTGTACCCGCCTATTAACTTATCTTAAAAGTAAGTTAAGTTATGTTATTTATAAAATAGCCATTAACTTAAATAGATTTTAAGGGATAAGTTTAGGCCTTAGGCCTAGTTTAACTTAGTTTATGTCTGCATATAGGCTATCTTACGTGGCTAACATTAGTTTACAAACTTCAACATTCAAGATAGGTTTAAAGATAAAAAACTGTGACATGTAGGCCTAGGCCTTCAAAAATGCATGAAAATGTCTAGGCCTAAGTTTGGCCCTGAATTTCCGTTGTTTAAAGGTTGTTGTAAGGGAAACCCTACGCTTACGTAGGCCTAGGGCCTGAGCTTTTATTCTAAACTTAAAACCAAAGTTTAAAAACCGTCACATTGTTACTTTCTAATTATTTATCTCCTAAGTTAAATCTTAAGAACAACAAAACAAGATCCAGAGTAGGCCTACACAATATAGGACTAGGCCTAATGGGACTTGAAGCTATGGTTCCACAGACTGCGGAACTTCCGCCGTGCGGAACCACAGCGTAAATCTGGAGGGGTAGTTCCACTGGCTGCGGAAATAACGTTGCGGAAATTCAGTTCTGTCCAAACTAGCGACGAAAGACGAGTATGGAACACAAATATAGGCCTAACTTAATACCATAAAATAATATTAGGTACCGGTAATATCATACCTAGATAAAACATACCGGTACTCTAGTCTATGGTAATATTCAGACTTAATTATTTTTAATTTTGGTTAATTTTATTGTAAACTGATGTTAGACATGCCTAGATCTTAAAAATCACCTTATTAATTTTTTATGAGGATGGTGATTAGTAAACATTAATAAAATAACAATTTGGGTTAATATGCATTTTAGGGTTTGCACGCGATTTTTGAATTTTTTTTTTCATTCTACTCGAAATTTAACGCTGATTCCGAAAATGACGTTCTTTTTCCGCGGAAAACGACCATAACGCGGAAAAACGACCAAAACGACCAAAAACTCTTTTTTTACCAAAACACGTCATGTAGGTACTCAAATTAACCGGAATATTTCGCAGATCACGACTATGCAAGAATTTTTTGGATCCGAGGTCAAATAAGCGAGATATTCACGAAAACGTGATACTACCAGCAATAACTCCAACTCACTAGGGGACAGGTGGGAATTCGGGGTTTTGGGTGGGGGAGACATCTAACGTGGTTTATCGTTGTAATTTAATGTGTAAAAAATAATGGGTAATTAGTCGGGAGAATTATGGGAGATATGCTTGAAATTGGGAAATTTTTCAGTACCAACCTATTCATTGGTTGTAGTAGCACTGCCATGTTGCTCGTTAGGTTAGGTTAGGTTGGTTAGGTTAGGTTAGGTTGGTTAGGTTAGGTTAGGTTGGTTAGGTTGGTTAGGTTAGGTTTGGTTAGGTTGGTTAGGTTAGGTTAGGTTGGTTAGGTTAGGTTGGTTAGGTTAGGTTAGGTTGGTTAGGTTAGGTTGGTTAGGTTAGGTTGGTTAGGTTAGGTTAGGTTAGGTTAGGTTAGATTGATTAGGTTAGGTTAGGTTAGATTGATTAGGTTAGGTTAGGTTAGGTTAGGTTGGTTAGGTAAGGTTGGTTAGGTTAGGTTAGGTTGATTAGGTTAGGTTAGGTTAGGTTAAGTTAGGTTAGGTCAGTTTGGTTAGGTTAGGTTGGTTAGGTTAGGTTAGGTTGGTTAGGTTAGGTTAGGTTGGTTAGGTTAGGTTTGGTTAGGTTGGTTAGGTTAGGGTAGGTTAGGTTAAGTTAGGTTATGCATAGTATCATCCCTTTTACCTGTTAAATTAAAACATAAACACCAGATAACACAGACAAAAGTTAGAGCAAAAATCCAAAATAGCATCGCATATTTACGTGAAAATCTCGCTAATTTGACCTCGGATCCAAAAAATTCTTGCATAGTCGTGATCTGCTTAATATTACGGTTAATTTGAGTACCCACATGACGTGTTTTGGTAAAAAAAGAGTTTTTGGTCGTTTTGGTCGTTTTTCCGCGTTATGGTCGTTTTCCGCGGAAAAAGAACGTCATTTTCGGGATCAGCGTTAAATTTCGAGTAGAATGAAAAAAAAAATTTCAAAAATCGCGTGCAAACCCTAAAATGCATATTTACCACAATTTGAACTTAAATTGTAGTTTTATTGATACACGAATAAAAAATACAAGCCCCAAAAAGAATAAGGTTATTGAAATAAGGAAACTAAATTGATTGGTCATAATAATTAATTGATGGCTCTTCTCCGCTGGCGGAATCCGCACTGCCACTGCTCTCAGAGCAGTATGATTTGTCTGCCATGCGGAACCGAAAATTCGGGTTGCGGAAACGCACACATGGGAACTCCATTAACCCTAGCAGTGGCCAATGTTAGAAGTGGGGAATGGCCAACCCATTTTGGCGATTTTGCAGACCTTTTTTTGAAAATTCGTAAAAATTCAACCGTACAAGTAAACCTAGCCAACCTCATATTCATTTTGTTCGGAAAGAACAGGAGAATCTTGAAATAGTAATATCATAATGATTTAGACAGTGTATTTTATCGATAAAGTGAAAAAAATAAAAAAATTTGAATTTTTTTTTTTGAAATTTCAAAAGCGGCCTTGGTATTTTTTTTCTACGGATTTCTTTATGGGAAATTCATTATATACATTTTGTAGAAAATCTAATTCCCTACATAGAAATATATAACATGTTAGGAAAATATTTTTTTTTTTTATAAGTTTTTGGGGCGAAATATAATGACAAACGGAGAACCGAAAAAATTGAGAACCGTACAGTGTTAGTTTATGTTGTAAAAAGTTCTATAATACATGTGTATACTAATAATGATATATACATGTTTGTAAAGCTAATGAAGTAAGGAATCAAAAAAAGTCATAAAGTTTATGGTAAAAATAATTTTTTACCTATAAACATACGTATATAAAATAATGTTTATATATTTTAGCGATTTCTCGAAAAACAAAATTCACAGTACTTAGTATACAACTTTTGTACCAAATTTTTTTACTTCAAACCAACATAATAATCTTGTAGTGTATTCAATTACCAACATAAAAATGTATAACATGTTAGAAATATTTTTTTTGTAGGTACGTAATAGGGACATAATAATACAATAACCGCAAAACCGCAAATAAGTGTAAACTATAGCCTACAGTGTTTGCTTGTGTTGTGAAACATTATGTAGGCTGATGATATGTAGCCTACATATTTGTAAAGCCAATGAAGTAAGGAATCCAAAAAAGTCATAAGTATGATGGTAAAAAGTTATTTTCACCTATGATTATGTAGGCCTATCAATTTGAGAACGTTTTGAATTTTTTGCGCATTTCGAGAAAATGGAGTGTACAGTATTTAGTAGCCTATATAATTTTTTACCAAATTTTTTACACCCAAACCAATATAAACATGTTGTAGTGTATTCATTTACCTTTATAAAAATGTATAACACCTTGGGTAAATCATTATAACCCCTCTGAATGTCAGAATCGTCATTTTTGGACATGATGCTAACAAAATAGCCTACAGTAGTAGGCCTATTTAGTATAGGCTATAACTTTTTTACAAAATTGTTTACCCCCGAACCATTATAAACATGTTGTAGTGTATTCATTTACCTTTATAAAAATGTATAACACCTTGGGTATATCATTATATAGGTACAACAATCTCTGAATGTCAGAATCGTCATTTTAGGACATGATGCTAACAAAATACAACCTTTTATGAACACTATTCCACACAATTCAGTAATATTTATGCATGAAGATAACTGTTATACACACACACAACACTTCACTTACACTAACACTACGAACTAATAACATATTTAGTAATAAATCGCGGATAAAACTATTACGGCAACAACACAAACAAACAATGGCAATACAAGACAGCTGACAGACTGTGGCAGTAATGACTCACTTCCGTCGTCTACATCACTGTCTACATGCGAGCATACAGAAATAACCCTGAGTGCAGGGCTGCCACTCTCTGAATCTAAATTTCTTCCTCTTCAAAATGATATACTATATGACTAGTAATAATAACTTTCACTGTATATAATTCGTATTTTCCATACTGTCACCAGACGACTGTTGGCCATTTGTTAGAAATTTCGAAAACAGCTGTTTTCATAAAATCGTACCGATTGTGCAATCAATATTTAGTTATAAATATCACTACCACAATGAAGATAAAATCAATGGCTATCCAGTGGTATCACCCGCAACATCCCAAGACGAAAATTACCCGAGCAGGGTAATGCCAAACAAGACGTGTTTTGCCAGTTCCCAAGTGTCGGCTGCAAAAGTCGTACCGCGCCAAAATTTCATTTGATTTCTAATCGTCGTGACATTGTTATATACCTGCTACAGGGTTTGTTTATGTAATCAAATGAAAGTTCAGAATGTGATCTTTCGAATGGTATATATATTATTCTAATCTGAGTTGATTGTAAGTGTTTTTTTTACCGTTAAAAAAATTTCGGCCCATACCGTAACCAGACGACTTTGGCCATTCTAAGCATCAACCTCATACCGTAACCAGACGACGGTTGGCCACTGCTAGGGTTAAACCAGTGTCGTAATTCCGCAGCGGAAAAAATCACACCGTACTGCGGAGATTCCGCATCCTGTGGAACCATTGCTTAAGACATAGGCCTAGGCCTAAACTTCTCTTATCAGTTTAGTGATAACTAACTTAAACCCTACTCTCACTAGCCTAAGGCCTACAACACTTCACCCATATAATCTTAATTTCTATCAATCAATCAATCAATCAATTATTAAAGATGGGGACGCCACTAGGCCTATTGTGTATGAGTGTATCTAGTGTTGTGTATGAGAAACAAGTTTGATAACAAGATATTTAGCCTACACCGAAAACGAAATCCTTTCTGTATGCCAACCTACCTCAGTGTAAACAAAGTTTATAAACATTGCCTAGGCCTATATGCTGATATAGGCTAGCTAACTTATTACAAGTAAAAAATGCTAAGGAATGGAGAACTGTCACTTGTACCACGACCGTATGTGGCAATTAGATATATCATAGATGGTTTAACATTGCAAACGTTCCTCCTCATCTTATAATAGACTTAAGTTTATGTCTCTAGGCTACCATCACAACAACATCTTGTCAAACTTACATTGTGTGTATGGTCCGTTTATGCACCTCTCACAAAAAACTAGTCTTGTGAATGAATTAAGACTAAATTAACGCAAAACTGTCATATCTATCCGTAGAGAAATGTATTCTGACAATGAGTACTAACAATTTTGAGTCTAAGTCTAGCCGAAGTAAACATCCCTTCCCTCTCCCTATTCACAAAACTGAAACTCTCACTCTCACAAAGTTTCTCGCCTCCATTTCCAAATTTCTTTCTGCTTCTTCGTTTTCGTTTGCTCTGCTCTGCACAAACACAACACTGCACTGCAACGTTCTTTAGTTCCATCTCCCATACTATAAAAAAAACATTTTGTTATACATTATACATTTTCCCATCAAGCGCCAGTACAAATTATATTTTCTGGTTTTCTTATTAATTTACCATTAAGTAATACTAGTTGTATTAATTGTAATGAACCCACGGTCTTCACCCACGGCCTTGATGAGTGAGCGTAGCGAACGAACTTCAACCAGGGGCCCTATTTTTGAAATGGTTGAGTGTTGAGTCATTCTATTTCCAATCGTTTCGTATTTTTGAAACGATTGACGGTGGACTTATCCAACCAAAACTACTCACCACCTATCGAGCTGTTGACTGTTTAGTGGACGGTTGACTCCACTTTCTTCTTCCTCTTTCGGCAAAAGTTGCTCTTTTTGAGTCGACGCCATATTGTTATTGCTTTAATTTACTAATTGCGATTTAGAGATTATGTATTTGTTATTGTTGTCAATGTCTTAGCACCCAATACAGTGTTGTCGCAGCTAGTCTGGGCGCGCGGACCCTTGTGTACTAGCCGTCCCCCACGCCAAATCCGTCGAAGACAGCGCTGAGGCACTGAACAGGTGTATACACCATCAATTTCGTGATCCGTCCAATCGGCTCCGCCCCAGTGGCTCTGGAGTTTCCCATGTTAACCTTATGAGAAATGGAATTAATGAATCTTAACAGCTGTTTCAATTAAACAAGTTGGTTCTGTTCTACTATGATGTTCAATAGCATTAAAGTTACAAGGATTACCAACAGGGTACAGTACTACTATTTCTTTTACATTTATGACAACAGCTGCTAATTTGCAACCAAAAGGTGAGTGAGCATAGCGAACGAACTTCAACCTGGAGGCGAGTTAGCGTAGTGAACGAGCTAACCTGAAGGCAAGTGAGCGCAGCGAACGAGCTCCAACCTAAAGGTGAGTGAGCGTAGCGAACGAGCTCTAACCTAAAGGTGAGTGAGCGTAGCGAACGAACTTCGGGGCCCATTTCATAATAAACTACAAGTTACAAGTTACAACTTGTAACTTAATTGATATTTCCATTAGATTTGCATTGGGCGATCAGCTGATTTCCTAATAATATTAGTTTGTACTTTATTATGAAATGGGCCCCAGGACGTGAATGAGCCATGCGAACGAGATCATATTGAAAATTAAGAAGTTAAACGGGGCAAAGGCTGCGGGTTACAGCTAGTATAGTATAGACACAAAAATACAACAACAGTACATTGACATTGATAAAGAATATCACATCACTTTGACCACAGACTATAGACAATTATGGTATATTATATATATATAAATCTTAACGGATGGTGTTTTTGGCCTCTAGGTACCTCAAAATGAAAAATTAAATCGGTCCTGGGTCCAGGTTTTACCATGAGTACTACGTTAATAGCTTATTCCCTATATATAGGAAATTCGCTAAAAAAAAAATCGCTGAGGTTTTCTCTTTTACGCCTAGGTTAATTTGTAGTGTAAACAGACGAACTCATTTTAATGCCATCTTTGAGTCCCCAAACATTCTCAAATTGCCATCTTTGTACATATTTTGGCTGCATTAAGTAAAAAATATGTCACTTTTAGCGATTTTCTTATATAGGGAGTAAGCTATTGCCGTACTCATGGTTAAGACCTGGACCCTGGACCAATTTAATTTTTCATTTTGAGGTCCCTTAGAGGCCAAAAACACCATTCGATCAAATTCATATATATTAGAGGTCGTCCAGTGGTCGAAACTCGACCAAAATTATGTAATTTACAGACTTCTCTATTTTCTCCCCACACTGTAAATAAAACATGTGATTGGAGTTTCTTCCGTTTGTTTTGATTTTCTGTTTTTATTTCGTTGTTATTTCGTCACCAGCATGGCAACCCATAAGATCCATATTAATTTGTTCAAAATATTTAATTCATTTTTTGTGCTTATTTTTGAGCATATTTTAATTTATAAAGGGATTCTGCACATCTGCAGGAAAACATCTTTACAACAGTATGCCTAGATTTTCCCTGCGATGCACAGTAGCAGAGAAAAAAGGTTTTAAAGAAACATGCTTGGCTATTAATATACAGGGTGTCCCGGAACTCTCTACCAATATTTTAGGGCATTGATCCTGGGTAAGAAACATAACTAAATATCATATTTAAACTGTCCGGAAGTCCTTAGTTACTCACACAGCCGCCATTTTGTTTTTTTCAGTTATTAATTTTTTTCTAAAGAATGGTTAAACATACGAAATGGAAACTTCGCACAAACATTTATGACAACTAGACAAAGCTGCAAAAAAATTATAAAGATTTTTCAAATTCATAAAACAAAATGGCGGCCATTTAAACTTTTCTTTCTCAAATAACTCAAAAACCATTGATTTTACAAAAATTTTAAATGGCCGCCATTTTGTTTTATGAATTTGAAAAATCTTCATAATTTTTTTGCAGCTTTGTCTAGTTGTCATAAATGTTTGTGCAAAGATTCCATTTAGTATGTTTAACCATTCTTTAGAAAAAAATTAATAACTGAAAAAACAAAATGGTGGCTGTGTGAGTAACTAAGGACTTCAGGACAGTTTAAATATGATATTTAGTTATGTTTCTTACCCAGGAGCAATGCCCTAAAATATTGGTAGAGAGTTCCGGGACACCCTGTATAGATAGATATAGATTTAAAAATTAACAGCTGTTTCATTAAAAAGTATTATCCACGTGGACAAAATGTAAACAAATCTGTCGAGGGATCTTTAAAGGCTTCTGGGGCAGAGCCCTAAGGGAATTTACTTTGTGTTTTTTCTTTTGATAACTCATCTACAGACCAAGGCCTTTCTTTGGAGACCTCTACCAAGTTTCTACGCCCAGCCGTTCTCTCAAATTAGTGTAGACAAAGTTTCCATTTTATTAGTGTATTTTTTAGTGTAGATTCTCCATGTGGCAAATATTTACCGTATTTACACTGGGATATGATGTAATTTGTATATATCTACTTACAGTATTTTTAACGCTGAATCCAAAAATGCAATCAGTTTTGGTCGGAGAGATTCATAAGTGGCGGTAGCGGCCATAAAACAAAGGTTAGGATTACGAATCTAACAAGGATAATTGAGCGGTACCTACTGAAGGTAATGGTAATATGGCGTGGTCTGGACGGGTCCGTACTGAGTGAAGAGTGAGGAGTGAGGACTGAGTGAGAAGAGCAAACAACTGTTTATACTTGATCTAATGCGGAATGAAATCAAATCAATTCGTTTTGAAACCAAATGATCAATTCTTATTTAGGCATGTGAGGAAGGTAGGTCGGGTTTTATGCGGATTCGTGACTGTATTAAGTGTTTTGAAGTGAGGTTAGATTAGGAAGGTAAAGGTTAGGTTATAATGAACCGACTCATTAATTTGCATTTTTGATATTGTTATTTTATTGTGTTTCACCCACTATTTCAATTGTGCAAAAACAGTCTGGAAGTTGCATAAATTAACGAGTCGGTTCATTATAACCTAACCTTTAACTTACCTAATCTAACCTCACTTCAAAGGACTTAATATAGTCAGGAATCCGCATAAAGTCCGACCTATCTTCCTCACATGCCTTTTCTGACATAAACTGCAATTTAAACATTAATATTAAGGTTGGGTTGGGTTCGGTTAGATTAGATTAGATTATGTAACATCATTTATTAGTTGCTGATACATTAAATTATGCACTGTGGCACGTTTTCACTTTTAGACACAATGGGATTATGTACTATGGGATTATGCACTATGGCACGTTCATTACCAGACGTTGAGGCCTTAGTCAATGGTTGAGGATTGGAATGAGGACGATGATCATGTCGGCAGTGGCCTAGCTTCTATTACTGATATTTTACGTGAATAAATTCTATTTTGATTTATAATTTATGTTCATGTGATTAATAGTTTATGTATGGTAGTTGATTTATTGTATTTTATAAACATCACCAAAGTCCATTTTCTTTTTAAAATCTAGTTAAGGTAAATGCACCAGTGGCTGACAGTGCTCCAGTAGCTGACAGTTTGAGTTTCTTTACATTATAATGTGGTCTCTTAAAAATATTTACACATGATTGCATTGTTAGAAGAACATATGTTTATTCTTGATTTGTTTACAAAAAAATCAGTTAAATTTAGCCCATACTTGCGGAATGGTGGTGGTTTGAAAGCGACCCTGTCCGTACACATCACATTTAGTCGATTCCCTTAATGAAATTGTTAAGAAAGTTGGTTTGGTTTTTTGTCATTTCGCTAAATTTCTTAAATAGTATTAATGATTAGGCTCATTATTTTGATCAATTATACCTTTGTTGACAATTTCATGAAAAAATTGGGGCGTTAGGGGTTTTGGATTTAAAATTATATTCAATGTCAGGCATTGGTACACAAAATCCATACAAGTTCCAATAGCTGACAGGGGATATTTGCTACTTGCACAATATTAAATTGGTTTCACCCATCGAAATTTGCATGCTATTTATAATTTATGTGATCTCACATTTTTATAAAATGATTTTAATTTTTTAATTTATAAGCCAAATTATCTTAAAAAATGTATATTTTTTTAAAATATATATAAAATATATACAGGGTGACAAACAAGTCTGGAAACGGTTTAATATCTTTTTAAATAAATCCGTTAGAAAATTCAAACCTTTCACATCAACTTACATGTATGAAAACTACTTTTTCCAAGCATTATCATTTTTTTACCTCTACCAGGGGACGGCCCACGAGGAGTAGGTACATAATCTTTAATGTAAGCATATGTTGATAAGCACATCATTTTAAAGGTCTGGTCAAGTGGAGTTCATTGCCAGAAACTGCGTCAAAAAAGGTTCATCCGTTACAAAATGGCGGCTGTCCAAAGTTCTTGTGGAATATACCCGCACAGGCCTTAGTATTGGTAAATACTCGTATTAAACATTAGCTTGAGAGCTGAAACTGTATTTTTAAGTCAACTAGCTCATAGATTAATATTATAAAATCTTCAAAACAAATTTTACCGAGTTTCAGATTTCCCGGCTAATGTTGAATAATATGAGTATTTACCAATACTAAGGCCTCTGTAGGTATATTCCGCAAGAACTTTGGACAGCCGCCATTTTGTAACGGATGAACCTTTTTTGACACGGTTTCCGGCAATGAACTCCACTGGACCAGACCTTTAAAATGATGTGCATATCAACCTATGCTTACATCAAAGATTATGTACCTACTCCTCATGGGTCGTCCCCTGGTAGAGGTCAAAAAATGGTAATGCTTGCAAAAAGTAGTTATCATACATATAAGTTGATGTGAAAAGTTTGAATTTTCAAACGAATTTAGTTAAAAAGATATCAAGCCGTTTCCAGACTTTTTTGTCACCCTGTATATATATTTTAATGTAAATATTATTTATTTTAAAATATGTAAAATAAATTTTCTTAATAACGTTTTATGTGATTTTATAATTTAATTATTAAGTTAGATTTTATTCGTCTTATAAATTATAAAACCTTTAGGTTTAGCAGCTAATACATTTAAGTTCCAGTGTCAGCTACTGGGACAACTGACTGTCAGCTACTGGTACAAGCACTTTTTTCACTGTCAGCCACTGGAACACGTACAAAGGTTGAATTAAGTTTAAAAATGTTATAAAATATATTTAAAAAACCCTTTTTGTATGACAAATTTGAAAACTACATTAAATTTAGAATCACATAAAATCCGTAATATCTCTTTAGTTCCTATTTATTCAAAACCACGGATTATTAAGTGCGTATAGTTTCTTATACTGTCAGCCACTGGTGCATTTACCTGCATATTGTAACTCTGATTTTGCTCTCATGGCGTCATGTGTGGTTTTGTCTGTTTAGTATAGAATGTAAACAACTGACAGCTGTTTCCACTCCACAAACCTTCCACCCCTTTTAGTGTTAGTCGCCACTAGAACTTGGACTCGTCCATACCACAAATATGGTAATATATGAACAAAACTGAAGCTTAATATTAATTATATAACCGTACGGCCACTTAGGAATCTCTCCGACCAAAACTGATTGCATTTTTGGATTCAGCGTTAAAAATACTGTAAGTATACATATCAAAATTACATCAAATCCCAGTGTAAATAGGGTAAATAATTACCCTCCATGTTTATCTTATGGGAGAAAACCCAACTTTGATTGAAGATCCTGCCCAAACTAATGAAGATTTCAAAAAATGAAAAACACTTTGCAAAACTACAGAACAGGGTCATTTTTTGACACTTCAATCATCAAAATCAGTCCAAAAATGAGGGAGGAGTTCTGTTTACAAAAATCGGCTTAGCGTATTATATATATAGATGTAAACAGCCGGGAAATGTTTCTATGGGTCAATTTTATTTTTTGAATTTTTCAACCGATCTTTATAAAACAGAAGAGCCCCATATTATAAAAAAACTCATTTTGATTCAAATATTCAAAAAGGCTAATAATATGAATACATGCCAAGAACACTTTGATTTATTTAGCATTTTTTATTCCATATCAAACAATACCAAGTTCAAAAAGATAGAATAAGAAATGGCTGAAATATTACGATTTTTAAATGTAAAATGGGGTAGAAAAAGGCAGAAGCTAGTCAGGTTTGCCCCACTTTACAACTAAAAATCGTAATATTTCAGCCATTTCTTATTCAATCTTTTTGAACTTGGTATCGTTTGATAGGGAATAAAAAATGCTAAATAAAAGTGTTCTTAGCATGTCTTCATACAATTAGCCGTTTTTGAGTAATTTAAGTTTAAAAAATTAAATAAAATGGCCGCCGTTTTGAAACTTTTAAGTTGAATCAAGTTGATTTTTTCCAGCATGAGGCTCTTACCTTAACCTAAATACCAAGTTTTATAAAAATCAGGTGAAAAAATAAAAATGATTTTGCAAAAATACAAAATGGCGGATATCTGGTTAAGAAGCGATTTTCGAAAAAATGTTATTCGTGATTTTACCTTTATTTTAACCAATAGAACCATTTCCCGGAGTTTGGCTGTTTACTTACGGGACACCCTGTATGTGTGTGTCCGTTAGCGCGATAACTCGGGCAAAAATGATCCGATTTTGATTAAATTTGGTACAAACTTGTAAACATACGTTTATTCTAACGAATTCGCGATCCAGCATATCGGACCATGGGAACGGGAGTTTATGGGTTTATGGGGTAAAAATGGGGTTTTCCCATTTTGACCCTAAAAACAAAAAAAATCACAATTTCTTTTTAAACCGTTTTGTAGAGCTTAAATAAGAAATAATTTAGTAGGGTATATTGAAGCGCTGTTGCATACATAACGGTCACGGAGAAAATTAAAAAATAGTGTAATTTAAAATTCTTATGTTATTCTTATGGAGAAAATGAAAATTGTTGTAGTTTACTTGTTTATGGATATATATTAAAAAAATTTGGCAAATTTATTTATTTCATCCTATACTATTGACGTATGATCAAAAAAATATTTTTTACCTTCCCCGTAGCAACAAACCTAAGCACTAGTTAAGTCTAATGTTATTTAAATAGGGAATAAATAGGTATGTCTTAATTATGGAAAAATTTGAGTAAAAATGTAATCAGACAAGTTGAAATTCGCTTAGTCTGCAGGTTTGCTGCGGCGGGGGTATTTATGATTTTTCAAGACTAGTGTAAATGTGATTTTAAAGACTTTACAATTTTCCTCCAAAGCTACTTGTAGGATTTAAAGTGTGTTACTTCAGAGAAAAAGTGCTGTACGTACATTCTGCATCCTGTACTCTTAAACAATTAAGTTTAGATAGGAAATGCAAAGAATAATAAAGTCTTAAAATTGCATCTACACTATAAGATCATAAAATACAACGTATTCCAATTTAAGTCCAAGGCCATTCATTTTTACAAAGACTATAAGAATAGTCGGATATAGATTCAAATCCACCATATTTGAATCTACCATATATTTTGGGAACAGTGGAAATTACATTTTTAAACTTATTCTATGGTCTTTTTATAATTAAAAAAAACTTGTTAGGTTTATAGTACACTAGCTGTAACCCGCGGGCTTTGCCCCGTTTAACTTCTTAATTTTCAAGATGATCTCGTTCGCATGGCTCAATCACGTCCTGGTTGAAGTTCGTTCGCTACGCTAACTCACCTTTAGGTTGGAGCTCGTTCGCTGTGCTCACTTGACTTCAGGTTAGCTCGTTCGCTACGCTCACTTGCCTTCAGGTTAGCTCGTTCGCTACGCTAACTCGCCTCCAGGTTGAAGTTCATTCGCTACGCTCACTCACCTTTTGGTTGCAAATTAGCTGTTGTCATAAATTTAAAATAAACGGTATCAGCATTCTGACACATACTTTCTCCCATAAGATTGTCAACAACCTTTCTCATGTGTAAGCGGTAAGTGTAAATATACGGAAATGGGATTTGTAAAATTTTCTTCAGAATTTAAAGGACTATAACATACTAAATTTTTATCAAAATTGTTCTATCCAATTTTGGGAAAATCCGATTTTCCGTTATTTTATGGGGATTTTTATGGGAAAATAACTTAATCCACCATAACTTTTGAACCGTAATTTTTACAGAAATGGGATTTGTACCATTTTGTTCAGAATATAAAGGACTATAACATACTAAATTTTTATCAAAACCGTTCGGGCCATTTTTGAGAAAATCCTATTTTTCCAGTTTTTTATGGGGTTTTATGGGAAAATCCCCATTAAAAATAACATTTTCTAAAAAATGACGAAAAGGAGGGTAAAATCCTTTCTTAGTGAGCGTCTACTACCCAGAAGGAAGATGCCTGCCAAGTTTCAGGTTCCTAGGTCTTATGGTTTCTGAGATTTCGTGATGAGTGAGTGAATGAATGAATGAATGAATCAGTGGTATTTGAGCTTTATAGGATAGATAATTTTACTTCCAAGGTCTGTCACTTGTTTTTTTTTATTTCGCCCCTCTAGAACTGTTTAAAGTTTTTCACTAATAAAAAGAAGTACAATGTTAAGTTTCAATGTCAAGCTAATGGGAGAAAGGATGTGTTAGTTAGCTGATATTTTTTTAAAGGCTATGAAGGCTTTTAAAACATACTTGGTCTATGAAGGCCATGGGCCAACTCAAGCACAATACAATCTCCTATTTTGCCCAGGCAGAGGTGGGTAATCCAAGCATCAGTTAATCAGGGCCGGCAAAGGGTCCTAAAGAAAGCCTTTTTTAAAGCAAAACATTACAAAATGTTGGGAATCCAAATAATACAATTCGTTTTACAAACTTATGAACAAATTTATTAAAATGACAAGGAGAACAAAATATAAACCTGTATCAACTAAAAATCCTAAATTACTCTTTGAGTTTGCTTGATTGCAAGAAATAACACTCAGTGTGCATCAAAACTTGAGTGACTTCGCAAACAGAGCAGCCGTTGCTTGGTTTTTGTCTCCATTAAACCGACGAAGCTCGGCAATGACCTGGAAATAACGGAAGAGAAGGTTTATAATGAATTTGTAAACTCTTTCTCTATACTTGACAAAGTCCCTCAGGGGACGAAATATTGTGTGCACAGTGTATTTTCTAAATGTTCTATGGCCTACCTACACTTTCAAGGTAAGCTAGCTGCTATCCTACTTTTTCTACAATTTATAATCCAACTAGTTGTAGGGACATAAGTCCCTAAAAAGCTCAATAATAAAAAACAAATTATTCTAATATTCAAACATACTAAGAAATATATTATCTATGTGTCAGAATAGATATCCATGTACGCCATATCTTTTGTGTAAAAAACAGTTTTTTGTTTGTCTTTGTTGATGTTATTTTCTATAAAACATTCTAATCGAATCACTACATAGGTTTAACTCTGCTAAAGGCAGCAAACATATAATTGTTTGTTGTGAATACTGGTTTATTAAGGTAGCTTTTGGTCTTGTGGTTAATGGTGATAAAAAAAGACTTCCCTGATTGGAATATTGGAAATTGTCTTCGTCAAATATGAAAAGGCAAATAAAGGTATGTTGAGGTAAGCTTAGTTCTTGACCAAACCCGCTAAATTAGCATCCCTACCCAGTTAATATTTCTAAGTTTATACTCCTTTTGGGTTTAATAACATTAGTGCAAAGTAAAGACATCCAATTGACCAAACTTAACCCTAGATTTTTTCTGATCAACATAAAAAAAACTACAATTCGTTTATGTGGTGGTATTCCTCTTAAAGGTGCGATTGACGTTACATATTCTATCAAATTAGGTCTAATTATTGGATGATTCTTAACTCTGTTGCGAACAACAGACAGTACATGTTTAAAATCTCTTTTTGAAATAAAAACAAAGCAGAAGTTTTCCATTTAATCTTGAATCGTTAATTATTTAGTCAATGTGGTTATTTCATGTTAAACGTTTAAAATACACAAATTTGAAAAGTTTCACAGTAAAATAATGTATTTCAACATTCTATAACGTAACCTAAAGTCTTAATTATTATAGGTAACGTTATCCCTGGTTTTATATAGTACATTGCAGAATTGACTGGCAAATCAATAATCCAAATGTTAATATTGCATACTGGCTTGGTGATAAATCAAGTAAACAAAAATCAGCAGTAAATTGCTTCTAATGCTATTCTTATGGAAAACATTTTACATTATATCTCGTTTTCTGGTAATTTTATGGGAATACTGCTATTTTTCCCGAGTCCCTGGGGTCAAGACCTTTAATTTAAGACCTCTCCTACTTTTCTGCGACTTACCAGACATCCACAATTTCCTGGTAAAAATTTTGTCTTACAGAATTATATATAAGGATAATAGACAGTCGTACATAATTAACTAACGATATTTCAACTTAAGTTTTTGATAGAAAGCTCCATAAATTTCAGCAATATTGGCAAAAAACATTCAGTGAGGAAGGAGTCAAGCTAATTTAATTCCATTTTAGCTGGACTCTGACTCTAATAAGATATACTACCAAATTAAAATTAAATTGTGGTTAAAGGCTTTTCACCTGCCTACTGGTCAAAAAAGCCGCTTTGAAAGGTATTGAAAGACATGAATTTCTATGTAGGCCAAAATTTGTACTTACAATACCTTAAACGTAAAATCTGTGGTTTCAGTAGCGGTAGACACCCATCTTATAACACTGATTATGATTATTTGAGAAAATTTCTTGATTGAATCACCTGTTCTCTTGTGAAGCCTAGACTGACCAGTTCTTTCACCTCCTGCTCTCCAAACTTGTCAGTGGCTAGGACAGTTGTGGAGGGGTCTAGTCTAGTGCCTGTACTTGAGCCAGAGCCTGGACATGACATAGTGTTTAAAGCAATTGTAAACAATATTGTTTCAAATACTAAACACAGGGTAAATGAATCTAAACTAAATTACAACTGAAATACAATATGACCCCAAGTGAAAGGCTTAACCCTCCAACTGGCTGCGTGACTATAATAGTCGTCGCGGTAGGTGGTTTCTGTAGTGGCAGCGACTAAATAATATTGGTTAAATAATATAATAATATAAAAAATAAATAATATAAGTTAAAAAAAAATAAGCTAAATAATATAGGTTGAAATGAAATGAAATGAATGAAATGAAATGAAATACGTTTATTTATCCCAATATTATTACAGAAAGATACAGATAAATACAAACAGAGAGCAAGAATAACTACAGTAGTACAACTATTAGGTAGGTGGTTTCTGTAGTGGCAGTGTGACTATAATAGTCGTCGCGGTAGGTGATTTCTGTAGTGGCAGCGACTATAATAGTCGCGGTAGGTGGTTTCTGTAGTGGCAGCGACTATAATAGTCGCGGTAGGTGGTTTCTGTAGTGGCAGCGACTATAATAGTCGCGGTAGGTGGTTTCTGTAGTGGCAGCGACTATAATAGTCGCGGTAGGTGGTTTCTGTAGTGGCAGCGACTATAATAGTCGCGGTAGGTGGTTTCTGTAGTGGCAGCGACTATAATAGTTTCATTTTGAAGAATTTTGGCTAACTCCAAATAAATCATTAAAAAAGATTGTAAAATGGAATAATTTGTATACCGTTAGAAACTCAGAAAGATTAGATTCTAAACTCGCACTTTGTTACATACATGAACTTACAAACAAAGGGATCACTGTAGTTAAGCACAAAAGTGAATGAAAATTTCAAACAAAGTCAGCTGCACGATGTACACTTCACAAAACTGGCAAATACGGTATGTTTCAAAAAATCATAACAAGGGATATGTTTGTCTTAAAAATAACTGGTAATATCACTGCAATCTATATAAATCAAATTAGAGTTTTGTCTGTACATTGCTCAGAATTATATATTTTTAAGTTATTTTTACGTTTTATACATTCAAGAAGCAGAAACATGTCTTATCTCCATTTCTGTCTGTCTTTCTGTCTGTCTGTAACACTCAAGATGGCATTTTACGCAATCTTCTCCATGAAAACGAGACTACCTATCAAGATCCAAGTAATTTTAATGTATTCACTGGATTGGCGAGAGTGTCTTTAGCCATTACAATATCGCCTCACTACTTTGTAAATAAAATTATTGACGTTCAAAGATGCAGTTTTGTGAGATTTTTGTCAAATTTTCGTACAATTTTTATCACATTATCATCTATGAAATAACGAACAGCTGTTCGGATCAAGATTATTTTTTCTAGCTGTCACTGATATGCTTACAAATGTTGTTTACAAATACCGAAACCATTTCCGATCACGTTTTGAAAGCAAAAACCAACCAAGTTAGATTAAAAACGTTTTTCTTACATAACGGATTTAATTAATCGCAAGCGCAATATTCAAAAGCGCGATTTCAAAAAATCATAACAAGGGATATGTTTAAACAGAACAATCCAGTGAATACATTAAAATTACTTGGATCTTGATAGGTAGTCTCGTTTTCATGGAGAAGATTGCGTAAAATGCCATCTTGAGTGTTACAGACAGACAGAAAGACAGACAGAAATGGAGATAAGACATGTTTCTGCTTCTTGAATGTATAAAACGTAAAAATAACTTAAAAATATATAATTCTGAGCAATGTACAGACAAAACTCTAATTTGATTTATATAGATTGCAGTGATATTACCAGTTATTTTTAAGACAAACATATCCCTTGTTATGATTTTTTGAAATTGCGCTACAGTGGGATATGTTTTTACAGTGTAACCGTAAATGAAATTAAATACCTAACTAGGCTTCATCCAGGTCAGGAACCAGAGTTTCTTTGTGTATACAATTGTTCTTGAGTTTTGATAACCAGAAAAAAGACCTTGAATCAGTGTTGTATAGGGCTGGGACACTTTAATGATCGTCGCCAATAGCTTACAAACAAGGTTTCCACTCATTGACGGCACTTCAATGGCGATTGTGTAAAGTGTAAAAAGTAAAAAAATCACAACTGCACTGCAGTGGGTGATTGTAACAGAGGTTTACGGATGATGCTAAACTCGCTTTTCCAATGTGTCACTTTCCGCTTCTACTCACTGTGTGATGCAATCGCTGGACCATACAGCCAATAGGCCCATAGCCCATCTCTTGGGTACGTACGCCTACCTATTTATTCATAACAACCTTTTCGAGGACGATCCTTGATACCCGTACTTTTCCATAGAATACATGGCCTACCTACTTAAGAAATAAAATTACAAATGTCCAAAAACCCAACATTGTGTGATTTTTGTCACATTCAACTTAATACTATAAGATCCCCGTGCGTAGAACGGGCACACAGCTAGTAAGGAAGAAACTTCCTATATTATGCTGGGTAGCTGAGTGGTTATAGGGCTCGCCTATTAATCAAAAGGTCGCCGGTTCGATCCTGAGAAAAGTCAGTAGCTTTTTGATGGTTCGAAACTGGACCCAGCTGTTCCTGATCATTGGGCTTTAAATAAATGATCCTGACTAATGAAACCGCTGATCTTAGTCAGTAACAAAGCTACACAGGTCATATCACACCATTCTACACTCATCCTTCACTCATATTTGGGTTAAAATACGCACCTAGGTGGCGTCCCCATCTCAACGATTGATTATTGATTATTATTGATTATGGTGCAAAAATCATTTTGATATAATTACATAACAACAAAAACAAATCAATCATTTTTTAAGTGTTCGTGAAGTGGCAGAGCGACTATAATAGTCGCAGTCGTAAAACACGTTTTATTCACTAAAATATATAATTATCCATATAATAAAGTATCTCATTAGAAAGTCCATGAAATTCTGTGCATTGTGGTATTTGATTGTTTAAGATTGCACATCTGGTGCTAGAGTTATCATATGTTATTTTTCGTGAATATTTGACTAACCTCAATCTCTGATGACCAACTAACAAATCAAGTTTTTTGGTGTAATTTCACTTTATAAGTTTACATAGTGATTATAAGTTGTAAATTTGCAAATGTTTAGTTTGGATATTGTTTATTGTGCGTTGACTGTAATGTGACATTACTTTTTGAAACTTGAGACACTATTTTTAGACGATTTTGTGAACATTATTGACTGTTTACCAACAACGGGTGTGACTGAGACTATCATTTAGAATCATATTTATTAGTTTTAAATTTGTCAATATTTAGTTTGTAAACTGTTTTTTGTGCATAGACTTAATTTGAGGTTTGGACATTACATTTATCCTGTTTTTGAAATATTTCGTCATAGTGAACGAAGGATTAAACTGTCACAAAAAAAGGTGCAGCGGCATTTTATATAAAACACTATAAAATATTTATTTTTTATATTTGCCTTTACAGGGTGTTCAATAACTCTCTCCCGAAACTCCGTGGTCATGTTCCTTAGGTCAAAATAAACGAAAAATAGCATATAATATATGCCCTATCTCGCTTTGTTTTATGTCAACAGAGTGTATGAATTTTTTATATAATTCCCTATAACTTAGGAACCACTTGAGGTACCAACTTAAAACTTGGTATGTATATCATGATTAATATGAACTATTTTCTTGCAAATCAACAACTTTCTACTTTGTATAATAAAGGTATAATTTCAAAATGGCAGCAATTTTTATTTTGTCAACGCTTAGTAACTAAAACACCATAGGATTTATAAAAACTTACAAATATGACAAAAAGGATGGAAATTTAATTCATTTTACGGAAATGTACAATTTTTATAGGGTCATAGCACAAATAACGGAGAAAATATTATTTTTTATCAAAGTAATAATGCTAATTTATTGAATTTACTCAAATTTGTAGTTATAACTTCAGAAAAATTTATTTGTCTATGATACCCTATACAAATTGTACATTTCTGTAAAGAGAATCAAATTTCCATCCTTTTAGTCAGTTGTCATTTCTTTATAAATGCTATGTTTTTTGAGTTATTAGGCTAAGCTTTGAAAAATAAAAATGGGACGGCCAATAGTTGCCAGTGCCATAGCGCTTTTGTCTGATCAAAGCTAGTAGTTGTGGTGACAATGAGGCGCCCCAACTGGCTTAACATAACCTGTTCACAGACTGCTTTATTGTTTATGTTTACATTAACACTGTTTAAAAATGTCTAAAAATTAAATTGCTTATTAAGTTTTTATTCATTTTCGTGTTGTTATTGATTTTAATAGACAATAGACTTACAAATTGCTCAAGGGTTGTTCTAAAATTGCAAAAAACTTTCAGGGGAGGACCCCCCCCTATAAAAAAGTAATTTCTGGCCATATATGGCCATATCAAAATTCCATATATGGTTTTATAAAGCCATATATGGGTTTTGATGAGCATATATGGAAGCATATATGGCCAGATGTGGTTGTATCCATATATGGTGGTGTCCATATATGGCCATATATGTAGTATATATATGGAATTATTGTTCATATATGGCCATACATGTTTTCGATATATGAAATAATTGTTCTTATATGGCCATACATGTTTTCTATATATGAAATAATTGTTCATATATGGCCATACATGTTTTCTATATATGAAATAATTGTTCATATATGGCCATACATGTTTTCTATATATGAAATTATTGCCCATATATGGCCATACATGTTTTCTACATATGAAATTATTGTTCATATATGGCCATACATGTTTTTTATATATGAAAATATTGCCCATATATGGCCATAAATATCCTCCATATATGGAATTATGGTCTATATATGGTCATATATGACTCCCAGGTATGAAATTAAATTACTCATATATGGAATAATAATTTTCCATTTATGCTCATCTATAAATGAGTTTTTGACAATAACTGGAATTATTATAAGGGATTGTTGCCACTTTAGGATTATGTAACTCTCAAACTCCCAAACACTT